TGTAATAATTACTGAGACTACATTTGTTATATCTGTAAACCACGTGATATAGCTGAGTTGCACAGGTCATTAAATTGTTGAGTTGAAAACCATCCGATCTGTATGATGATGTCATGTGTTGGTTTTGAAGTATACAAATTTTCGGAGCCCCCCCTCCTAGCGCAACAATTTTTTCAGAGCCCCCCCTTCGGGTGTCTAAAAGTTTTCGGAGCCCCCCCTCAATATCTTCATCCCCCCCGCCTTGTCATATTAAATGAACTTTCCCTTACTGAGTTGATACCTCAGTTATTTTTTACTTATTCAAGCTCCTATGCATTTCTTTTTTGACAATTCTGTCTTTTCTCTTTTTTTCTAAGAATTTATATTCTACGGCATGATAAACAAAAGAACAATATCACCTGAAAGTCCTAGATACCAAAGTATTTTTATTATTGTTATTTATTATGACAAAAATTATTATAATTACTTTATTTTTTTGTGGTAAGGCTTTCAACATCAACTGATCGATCGATCGCCAAAGTTGACCGATTTCCCGGCCTTCAAAACGTTCAAATTCCAGGGTCACTTTGGGTCACTTTAGTATATATAAGAACATAAACCTTTGAATTACTTAAATATCGAACTTAACTAAACAATACCTCAATAAAAAAGAAACTTCAAACTTATATTAGGCTGTGAACGACGACAGATCGGGATTATCACAATTCAAACAGGAAAAAATATACGTTTCAGAAGAAATACTCCAGTAAAGATTCATTTTGGAAAAAGATAAAAAGACAAAGAACGCATGAATAGTCTCACTTACCTCTAGTTGGGATTCTAACCCACCAAAACTGTGACACATACACACCGTAAAAACACAACGTGCAAAGGAAAACTCCGCCATCTTGTGACAAACACGATCGCAAAGCACTGTGGGAGGCATTCACTTTTCTCCGGTGCAGCTTGGTGCAGCTTAGAGCAAGTTGGTGCAGTTTGGAGCAGATTAGAGCAGCTTCTTGGAACTAGGTGACACTTGATGTAAGTTGGTACAGCTTTGCACAGGTTGGTGCAGTTTGGTGAAGACTGGTACAGCTTGGTTTAACTTAGTGCAAGTTGGTGCATCTTGGTTGAAATTGGTACAGTTTGGTGCAGGTTGGTTCAGTCTGGTGCAGTTTGGAACAGATTGTTGTAGCCTGGTACAACTTGATGACACTTGATGCAACTTGGTGCAACTTGGTGAAATTTGATGCAAATTGATG